AAAAACATTACTAAAACTTATTCCAGGAAGAAGGAATGTCCTGTAGAGAAGGAAGCCAGGACAAGGTGGTTTTGTTTACTTAATGATAGCAAGGGGCAACAACCCCTGTGCACCTCTGCTTGCTACACAGACTACCTCAAGGCTAGTACAGCATCGCTGGGGCTTCATGTGGGCTGAGCACATTACACATCTGTCATCATGGTGCCCAGTATTGCCCCAATAAAGTTCTAGGTCCTAAAACTTTCAAGAAAGGAATGCCCTTGGTTCCCAGGACTAGGAGCCCATTCTGACAGAATAAGCAGCAAGAAGACACCTAGGGACTCAGGAGGGTGGCAGCAACAACAAACGAAGGACCTTCAGTTTTCTTCAAGAATGGTCCCACTTTCCTCTCCCCTTTGCATGTTGGGAGATATTGTAAATGAAATTGGGTTTTTTGTTTTGTTTTGTTTTTGGCCAGGCCTTATGAAATCCAATCTCACTGTTGTAAGGAGCAGGCCTGAAGATATGTTATGGAAAATTAAAGCATGCACTGAGCATCACAGACCTCAGTCATTGTTACCTGCCCATCAAACCTGAGGTGGGGATCGGAAAGCTTTTGGAGCAGAGAAAGGAGTAAATAACTGCATTTTTATGAATGCATATATGACAAGCACTGCGCTATATATCATTTCTGTTTAACTCAACAGAAATCTTTGCTAATACCCAATAGATGGCATTACCTTCATTTTAAACATGAGGAAACAGACTCAGAAAGTCTGAGACATTTTAGTAACTGACACTTATTAGCCTTTATTATGTTTTAAGTATCTCCTGCTAGGAGATTCACTTACAGTAATCCTATGTAAGGACTGGTAGATAAAGAACAGCCTTCATGACATTCCAACTGTACCCCAAACCCTCAGACCTCCATGCCTTTATTCATACACTTTCCTCTACCTGGAATGTCTTTCTGGCTTATTCACCTGGCAAATGCTTACCCATCTTTTAAGACATTGGTTGAACATTACCTTCCTTTATGAAGTCTTTATTGATAATCTCAAGAAAAATTTCTTTTATTCCCTTGCTTATAATCTGACTATGCTTGAGACTAACCTTAGCTATGAGTATTGAATTGAGTAAGTTAGTGAATTAATGAACAAATAAAATGAGTTTTTTATGAGAATAGTAGCCTATAAAAACACCCAGTGACAAAAGCGAAGTCCCTCTGTCTCTTGAAGTAATAAATGCTAACGGGACAGAAGTATGATTTTTAAAGAGAGAGAAAAAAATACAAAAATGCTGAAAGTAGGAGTGGGATAATAATATTATTATTATTATTGCTCAATGCCTTTGCAACTGTTGTTCTGCTCCTAAAATACATGTCTGTGGGCACCATGTCTGCTCTCTAAAGTCCATGTTACTTCTGAACAAAAGTAAGAATCAGCACTACCCAAAGAGTTAGTGATAGAAACAGCCAGGTGTCAGGATTCCAGATTCCCATAGCCATATTTAAAATGAGTTCACTTTTGGGCAATATATTCAACAGACTGAAAAACTGTCAGAGAATTGAGATACCGGGAAAGAAATGAGTTCATGATTGGCCAAGTGATGTGTTCAGTATTAGAAAGCAAGTCTCATGGTTTGCACATAATATTCTTCCCTTACACCCACAAATCTATTGGCCATCCACCACAGTTTCTATACTACTCTCATTATCTCAACTGATGAATCAAGACCACATCATCCCCAAAGTGAAGCAATCCCAGAAGGATAGTTGACTACAAATCTCCTTGGTTTTAGTCCCATAGATGACAAAATTGAGCAGAGAAGTCACTATACCAGGTTAGTCAGAAAGTTGTATACATGCTAGATGGTGAGTGGAAGTGAGGAAGGAAAAGAGGGCAGGGATGTAGAAAATGAGGGTGACACCAAGGTGGAAGCCACAGGTACTCAGAACCTTGAGTCTGACATCTTAAGATGGAAGGTGAAAGACAGCATGGAGGATAAAGCCACTAGGAGATGGCAATGAGGATGGACTCCAGTCCCATGGCCAACAGAGCCACAGTCAGCCCATAGGCCATATTGATAGTGATGTTGGCACAGGCAATGCTCATAGATATGCTCACAGTCCATGTAAGGCATATCATGGTAGCCATAGTAGGGAAGATTAGGGATGAGACAACAGATATAGTGTAGAATATACCCCAAAATCCAATTCTGCCTATAGCAGTGTGGTTGAGAATGGTTGTATATCTCCATGGGTTGTTTATCTCAATTGATAATCATGTATCTATCAAAGGCCGTGGCCATGAGATCTAAGTACTTTGGAGCACAAGATAAAATGGACACAAACCATCTGATCCAGGGATCCACCAAAGGAAATCTCAACTACATGAAGCCACAAAATGTCCAGCATTTGGGGCCCTGTGGTGGAGCTGAAAGCCAGATCAGTGAGAGAGGGTGTAGTGGCACCCCCTTTCTCCACAGAGTAGTCTTAAGTGGGCTTCTCCAGAAATTTTTACCATGGCTGGTTTTAGGACTGTCAACAGAAGAGTCTCTACAAAAGAGTTCAATGTAGATAAACTTCCTATTTTTGTGTTGCCCTATTTTACTTGGCCACTGGCCGGGAAGAAATCAGCTCTCCAGGGGCTGGACAGCCCCTTACTAGTGTTCCACAAATATGTATCCAGTATATAGTTTGTAGAAATTTGTAAACAAGGCCTCTAGCCTTGAGCTGGGGCTTCACAGAGATGTCTACATTTCTAAGATAAGTTACCAATTGGGCTCCATGGTAACTGCTAGCAGGAGGAG